GGCCCGGACGCCCACCGTATAATACTCTGGTACCCCCTATCTCTCGGGACTATAGATGGGGACAGGGGCGTAAAAGCTGTGCCATATCTTTCTTTCTACATAATTTTTGTTTAGAGTGATCGATTTGGTTATGCTGGTAGGGTACTATGATCTATCACAGGGACCATCTAAGTCAAGTCCTAACTCCAGATCACCCGTTTGCACGGACTTCGTCCGGTTCTCTGTATCCGGATGTCTGACCGGGAAGAAGTCACACGGTACACAAATGACAAACTTTCCGAGTTCGTTTACAATGTTGGAGAAAAATAAATTTATTTAAAAATTTTATGACATCCAAGCGTTAGTTTAAAAATTTATTGACCCATTTACGAAATATGATACGAATATGATCACGTTTAGCTTTATTTATACCAAGGGTACAAAATGTTGCCTACTTAATCAGTTTATATTACTTTTTTTCCAGTGTACAATCGAAAACAATCGCTGGTTATTTAATAATAGAACATTTACAGTGTACGTGAAAGACTCGTGTTCCTTGCAGTAAAATTGTAAATGATAACGCTAATTAAAATTCCGATGATTTAATTTGTTAAAATTGTGCGAAACTCTTATTATTTCATATGATGTAATTCTTATATGGGTTAAGTGGTCACACTGTATCAACTGGGTTGCTGCGTAGATTTTGGTTACCTAATATGATGAACTGGCAGAACACAAACTCAAATAAAAAAAAACCCTTTTCACCTCACTAGCTCGGAAAGTTTTTCTTTCTCATAGGAAATCCGCGGCGCGCAAAAGCGTTTTTCAAAACGCTAGCGTGGAAAAGGTTTTTGAAATTCGAACTTGACGATAGACATGGTGCATCCATTGACTTACAATTATATGGACGTCGGGTCCGCGCTAAAAAGTGTCCGAACTTATAGGGCGTTAAAATCGTATACAGAGCGTCATTCACGCTTTAGTCTTCGTTTGTTCGACTAACAGCGAACCAAGCAAAATTAGACAGTACTGCGATGACATTACAATTTAAATTCAACGTTTTAGCTTTTTCATATTCCTTTAAATGTCACTACGTTTAAATAGGTTGACTTGGGACATTTTTTTCGTGGTTTTTGTATTAGACCCGTCGTCCATTTATTTGTAAGTCAATGGCTTCAAACAACAAATTTACCCGGAAGCCGTGGTTACCTAATGCTAATGGTTTGACCTACCTCTCAAGCAGAGGCCGTGGGTTAGAATCCGGGTTCGCACCTCTGTATTTATGTGGGCAATTTAATTTAATTTGAAATTTACCATGAGCTTTTCGGTGAATGAAAACATCGTTTTGAAACCTACACGTCGAAGAAGGTTCACAAAAATCCGAAAATGTAAGAAGTACCCAATCCACAATGGGCCAGCGTGATGGACTATGGCGTAAAACTCTCATCTGAGAGAACTAAGGTCTAAAGGATAACCTACTGAAGCCTCCTTTCACTCGCTCTGAGTATTACAAAAATTCTTTTACTATTAAGGCTGCAAATTTGTGGAACGATCTCCCATTTGAAATCCGACATTCTAAGTCGCTACCTATTTTCAAAACCGGATTGCGTAAATATCTTTTATCGCGGTCCTAGTCTGCAACGTATGTATTAGTAAGTATAAGTTATTAGTAAGTATAAGTTTATTTAGGTATATTTATATATACATATATCTACGTAGGTATAATATATCATTATTTTTTAAATATTTTATAAATTACTATGTGTCTTTATTTAATTTTTTTTTAACTTATACAATTTTATAATTTTATTTTTATATTTGTAAAATTGGCAATAATACGAATACACAATTTGGGCCTTTACTTTACCTGTCCTTTCTTTCTTCCTTCCTTCACCTTTTCCCTGTTATACTTCTACAATAAATTCATGTTGACCGAACGTACTTTCTATCACTGTCACTCAACCCCTCGGCCACACCCGTACCCAGCCATAGGACGTACACACTTGAAATCGTCACATGGACACCGTTAAACTCTACTACTCATTCGTAAGGCTTTCTCTGAGAAGAACGAGTGACAAACTGTATAGGGTTGCTCTTTGTAAATAAACATTTTGTAAACATTTGAAGGCACTCGTGCTATCAAAGTGGTTTTCCTTTTTTTCTCGCTAGGCGTGTATTATTGACTGAGTATATTTAGTAATATTTCAATAAAATACTTATCTTATTATTTACTTGTCTTATTATTCTTAATTTTTTATAATTAATTAAGATATTATATAAAGTTATTATAACATTCAAGAATTGTTCAATGAACAAAATTAATTAAAAATACTTCGACATCCTTCTTTTTAATCAATTTATCTGCGTATGATATTTGATGATTTATTTAATATGGTGTTTACCATATTGAATAAGCCATCATAAATAATATGATTGTACCTCTATATGATGACATATGAATGTAAACCATTATAATTAATAATAAGTGAGTGCCCTCTCTACTTTGCTGTGCCCTTACAGGGTGTCACATGTACACTCACAAACCACTGTACGTAAATTATTAATAAGTGTGACAATGCAATAATAAATAAAGATTAAAAAATATCGTCCACCAAACACGTGGACGCCTGCGCACGTCACCACGACCCAAAGATGACCACCCGCTCAAGATGGCCGCCTCCCCAGTGCTTGGTGTTCGTTCTACTATTGATGCTAGGTAGCGCTAGAATCGTTCTGATGACGACTATCGATAGATGTGACGCCATTAATCTCCTATTTTGCGAATGCGCCGACACATTTATCATTTACAATATATTTATTTTATGATACTATATGACTGGACGAACAAGTCGGCACCTGGCGGTAAGCGACCTGCCTATTCATAACAGTTGCAATGCCACTCATAACTTTAAATAGCAAATATCTAGGGGAACTTCTACAGCGCTCTGTCTCCTTGAGACTTGAGTTGACAAGTCTCATGTGCATCTCATTATACCAGCACCCTTCAAACTTCTTCTTCTTCAAAACTGGAACGCAGTAATGCTCACATATTACTGCTTGGCGGCATAAACAGGTAAAATGGCAGTATTCCCCTAGTAGACGTCGAACTCTGTCAAAAGGAGCTCTTCTTCTATTAGCTATGCTCTTTGTATGTTAGAGTAAATTTACATTTATCACTTACAATATTTATTACAAACATCATAGATCGAGACTACCTGCAAGAGCTAAACGGTCAATACCACGAATTTTTGTCACTGTATAATATACCTTTGGTTCAATAACATCTATACAACCATTACCACTAATCGGACCACTTTTTAGCTCCGCAATTTTCCAGTTTGTACACTAAAAGGTCAATAAATCGAGATAAAGCATTTGAAATATCAGTTACAAAAATATGTTTTAACATTGTTATTAAAGTACAAATACTCATTTTTTATTTTGCTAGAAGAGTACAGAATATTAAATAATACTATTCGGATTTTAATAGCAGTACTGCCGCCAAGCAATAACGTGAATATTACTATGTTCCGGTTTTGAAGGGTGCTGATCAAATTACAGGCACATGGGACTTTCCAAGTTATGCCTCAGGGTGATGGGCGCAGTGACAGTGTCCGTCAGATCTTTGCAATTAAAAGCTCTAAGCGGTACTGCATCTGTTATTGACAGGCGTATCGCTTACTATAGTGCGCGCGGAACTAGCTGGCCGCGCCTTAGGTATGTGAGCGGTGGGACGGGGAGGCGGGGGCACTTGATGTCATTACTCAGAATACTCAGTTCGGCGCCGGACTTCGCGGCGGCAACACATGTTGACAGTTCTGGCTAGTTTAGACAAAACGCACAAGAGATTGCAATGTCAAGATGAGTCCGCCGATAAAAAGACAATCTAAGGAAATAATATTTAAAGTGCATACGTTTTTTAAAAAACGGAAAGCCGATGTCAATAGTTTAGAACTGCCTCCGTGGCTGAACGGTTACCATACCGAACTGCCACGCAGAGGTCCCCGGGTTCGATTCCCGGGCCGGGAGAAATATTTGTATGGCCTACATTTATTTCTCTCGTGAGTTTGGGTGTAATTTGTGGTTGTCTATGTGTGTGTCCATGGCACCCGCGACACAGGGTTTCCCTAGTGCGGGGTTATGTTGAGTGTGTGCGTTATTATTATTATATTATTATTATAGAATATAAAACTGATGCGAATATTCATAAATTAGTGGCAGAAGCAACCGGGATATCAGAACGAAGTGTAAGGAGAGTGATTGCTCAAAGTAAAACATCCTTGCAAAATACAGGGGAAGCAAAATTTAGTTCTCCACGAAGGCCAAAAGAGATAAAAAAGAAAATACAAGTTGATGATTTTGATTTAGGAGTGATAAGAAGAAAAATAAATCAGTTTTATACGGTACAGAAAACAAATCCAAGTCTACGAAAACTAAATGCTGTGTTAAAAGAGGATAATATTTTAGATTGCGGATTAACTTATTTAAGAGAACTTTTGCACAAACTGGGATATTCATTTAAAAAATGTAAATCGAAGAGATCCCTTTTATTAGAGAGACCAAACATTGTTGAATGGCGAGTGAAATATTTGAGGGCCATAAGAAAATTCAGAGAAGACAAACGAAATATATTCTTTTTGGACGAAACTTACGTTAACCAAAGTCATAATGTCCAAAAATGTTGGCAATCTTCGTCGGAGCCTGGTGTTTATGCAGATATAGGCAAAGGAAGGCGTTTAATAATAGTTCACGCTGGTAGTCGGAACGGGTTAGTTGACGATGCTCTGCTAATTTTTAAATCAGATTCAAAAACAGGAGACTATCATGGAGACATGAACTCTACAAATTTTTACAACCGGGTTGATCGAAAGTTAATACCTAAACTTCCACCTAACTCAGTCATAGTTATGGACAATGCAGCTTACCACTGTGTGCAAGTTGAGAAGAAACCGACTATGTCCTGTATGAAAATTAATATGCAGAATTGGTTGCAAAATCATAACGTGCCCTTTTCTCCCACGATGGTCAAAGCTGAACTCTTGGGCTTGATTAATACGACCCAATCAGAAAAAATATACACGATTGATGAACTTCTGAAAGGTGCAGGTCATACTGTTCTAAGACTACCTCCATATCATCCAGATCTCAACCCAATCGAGCTTGTGTGGGCAAATATAAAAAATTGCCTGGCCAGAGATCACATTAATGCTACATTGGACGAGAAAATTACAATACTAACAAGACTATTTTCTGAATTTTCTGCCAAACAATGGCAAAAATGCGACGACCACGTACAAAAAAACGAACAAGAATACTGGAATCATGATATGAGATATGATACTGTGATGGACGAATTCATTATAAACTTACAAGATGATTCTGACTCAAGTTCAGACAATTCAGAATCAAGTGATTCAGAGGATAATATGTCAGAGTAATTTCATATCTATAAATACAAAGTCGTGTTAGTTACACTAATTAATTAATAATAATTTCATAAATGATTCAAATATGTCGGAAGAATTTCATTTCATTTGTTTTTGGTTTATTTTACTTTTAATTGCAATGTACGGACAACAGCAAGTCCATCAATACATAAATGTCAAATTTATCCAATCAATTTTATACTCTATTCCCTGGACTTTAAGTTGAAAATCAATTGAGGAAATCTGACAGTTTGTGGCGGCCTGATGTGCTGCCGACTGTACATTGCAATTAATTAGATAGGTATAATATAAACTTGTAAAAGTTCAATTGGCTTTAATTTTTTCTTTTCAATAACTGAACAATTATTGTTCACGATATCTCGAGATTGGTCGTCACTGTCTAATCTCATGTGCGTTGCGAGCAGCAAGCAACCCGCCCCCTCACCCCTGTCCCTACCTAAGGCGCGGCCAGCTAGTTCCGCGCGCACTATACCCCGTCTGGTCACTTGTCATCATAAAAAAGTACTTTCCCATGTCGGTACGTCAAGCACTGGGCGGCTATGACCACCAAGCGCTTATGGAGGTATACACAACCACGCACAATCTACACAGAAAAAAAGGATTTCTACTAATAAGAAAGAGCAATTTCTCAAAATATTTGCTAATTCTGAAAAAATATTTATTTAAAAGTAATAAAATATTGTCCTTACAAAAATACTGCTTGTCTTTTTCTAATACAATTTTACTCTTAACTTTATTCTAACTTTGAGACAAATACGTGCACTTCAAGATTTTATTTCATTTCTAATCAATTAATTGGACATTACTTACATCAACAAATTTTTACCTCTTACATCAAATTTAAATAATCTTAAATGAATACAAAATTTCTTGGGTGTATTTTAAGAAAATATATTCTTAAACAAAGAAAGAAGTAGTTTTCTATTAAGATTAATATTCTAAATTCTAGAGTAGTTATATTCTTAAAGCAACATTTCGTTGCGTTTTCATAGTCAATGTTGTCGTGACATGTCGCCGAAGGCGCACGCGGTGACGATTACTTTTACTTGTGCTTGTAATCATAAAAATCATAAACAGTCATTTCTCCAAAGAAACAATACGTAGTATCTCTAGTTTGTTAGGGTGTTATTTATAGTCATAATTTAAGAAATTTGGTTACAGCATGAAATCGAACTACACTTGTGTAACAAACACAACTTTAACATGCAATTAGTTCCATCACGCCACTGCTAGATGGCATTAGTTGTACTCTGAAACGCGCTATCGTTTTTTTTATTTGGAATTGTTAGTGCTTTCTGCCGGTGTAGCATTTATACGGCACTGAATGGTCCTCAAGCATTTGAGAAGATTCTGTCCTATTTCTGCTACTTTAAGGTTTGGCACTGAACTGTGTGCTTTCACGTTAGTGCATTTAAGTGCATTCCCTTACTGCTCTAACCTAGGCATCGCTCGTAATAAGCATATATATAACATAAATTCGCACATTCATAATTTGACTTGCCGTCATAGTGACGTTATATTTTGTTTTGACATCAATAAGTTCGTAAGGAACTTCAAACTTTTTGAGGATAATTTACTTTTACCCCTAAGGTATCTAAGACATATAGCTAGTTTGCTATCTTTTAATATTAAGGACGCTGTTATAGAAGATATAATACAGTCCCACGACAATGCTCCTACTTTAAGTAGCAACAGTATACTTTTTACTAACCATAATTTAAACTGAAAAACACGACAACAGAAAAGTCTAATCGTTTCCATGTAGTACATCAAAATATTCAAGGCTTTTCTGGCAAAACATTAGAAATAAGTCTTTTTTTGCACGATATTTCAGTTGACGTGTTTTGTGTTACAGAACACTGGCTGAAAGATTACGAAGCCATTAACAATATAGAAAATTATGTAATAGTAAGTTCGTTCATAAGAAAGAGCTTAAGTAGAGGCGGATCCATGATTATTACTAAGCGTAACTTAAAATTTAAAGAGCGTAAGGATATCACAAATCTTTCTACTGAACGAACTATTGAGATTTCATGTGTGGAATTGGATCAGTTTGTCGTCTTATGTGTATACAGGCCCCCATCTGCTAATTTTAACGAGTTTGAATTAATTATGGAAGACAGTTTAAAGCGGATTTTTCCAACCAAAAAAAACGTAGTAATATGTGGAGATTTCAATGTAAACCTGTTGGAAAACTGTTCTACTTCTGTAAGACTCATTAATTTATTTCAAAGTTTTAACTTGATTAATCTTTTTTTAGAACCAACTCGCATTACTGCCTCATCTTCTACTTGTATTGATAACATCTTTTGTAACACAGACGTAGTGTCTAAATCAATAATAAATTGCTTAAGATCCGATCATAGTGGCCAATTGGCTTCTTTTAATTGTAAAATGAGCAAGAAGGTAGACCAATTTCTCTGCAGACCGATTACCACAGAACGAATAATTAGATTTCAAAATAATATCGGCAATAGTTTAAATTCCCTATCCCATATACCGGAGGATCCAAATACTTTATATAACACGATATTTGGTTTAATTAAAAATGAATTTGACAATATATTTAAATCGAAAACATTAACTTTCCATAGAGAGACTAAATTCAACGACTGGGCAACAGTAGGTATTCATAAGAGTAGGTCTCGTTTGTATGAGCTATATGCTATGAAAACCTATAATACTAATTCCAATTTCATAGAATATGTTAGATTTTATTCGACAATATTTAAAAAAGTTTGTGTAGCTGCTAAGGTTAAGTTTCACAGCGACAAAATTAGACAATCGATAAATAAATCTAAAACTACTTGGAGCATAATAAATAAAGAGTCAGGCAGGGTTAAACTACACGATAGAGATATAGTTTTAGAATTAGACAGCAAACTTATAAAATCTAAAGATAAAGTAGCCCAAGCTTTTGAATCGTTCTTTTCGGAAATTGCTGTGAACACTACAAAATCACTAAATTCCTCCCCTTCACTTGCTATTGATCTCCTAAAGGAAAATGTTAACGTTTGTGGCAGTTTATTTAATTTTCGTCATGTTAATCCACAAGACATCATAAAAGCTTTTAAGTCAATACATGTTAAAAAAACTGAAGATCTCTGGGGCATATCAACTAAAGTTATAGACTCAGTTATTAATCTCATTTCCCCACAGTTAGCTGTAGCTTTCAATAGGTGCGTTGACGAAGGTGTTTTTCCCGATTTAATGAAATACAGCAAGGTTATTCCCTTATTCAAAAGCGGTAGGAAAGTTGATCCTAGCAACTATAGGCCCATTTCAATTTTACCAGCTTTAAGTAAAATATTCGAAAAGGTTATGCTAACTCAATTACTGTCCTATTTCGGTAGGAATCATATTTTTCATAGTGAACAATACGGGTTTACTAGTGGTAGATCGACTAGCGATGCGGGGGTAGCGTTACTAAAACACATCTTTGATGCTTGGGAAAGGTCCCAGAACGCTATTGGTGTTTTCTGTGACCTCTCAAAGGCATTTGATTGCGTTGATCATAATACTCTTATTAGGAAGCTGGAACATTACGGTGTAAATGGCAAGGCGTCGAAACTTGTCTCGTCATATCTCAACGGTAGAATTCAGAAAGTAGACATAAATGGAGTGACTTCTTTGGGTTCTCCAGTAAAAATGGGTGTTCCGCAGGGCTCAATACTTGGACCTTTCTTATTTCTGATTTATATTAATGATCTGCCATTCTTTGTTAAGGACCATTGCGAAATAGTGTTGTTTGCTGATGACACATCCTTGATTTTTAAAACAGACAGACATGAAATTAACTATGACCGTATTAATGATACCCTCTCTAAGGTAGTTTATTGGTTTAATGCTAACAATTTATTGCTTAATGCCAAGAAGACAAAATGTGTTAAATTTGAATT